AACACTGGGTGGTTTAAAATCAGGAAAGGTATATGCCAGAGTTGTTTCCTTACACCATACTTATTCAATCTGTATGCTGAGCAAATAATCTGAGAAACTGGGTTATATGAAGAAGAACAACATGAAATTAGGATTGGAGGAAGACTCATCAGCAACCTGTGATATGCAGATTATACAACCTTGCTTTGTGAATGCGAAGAGGACTTAAAATACTTAATAATGAAGATCAAAGACTACAGCCTTCAGTATGGATTGAACCTTAATGTAAAGAAAATAAAAATCCTTACCACTGGATCAATAAATAACATCACAATAAATGGAGAAAAGATTGAAATTGTCAAAGACTTCATTTTTCTTGAGTCCACTATGGAAACAGCAGTCAAGAAATCAAAGGACGTATAGCATTAGACAAATCTACTGCACAAGACTTCATTAAAGTGTTAAAGAGCAAAGATGTCAGTGTGAGGTCTAAGGTATGCCTGTCCCAAGCCCATAGTTTATTCAATAAACTCATATGCATGCGAAAATTGGACAATGACAAAGGAAGACCATAGAAGAATCGATGCATTTGAGTTATGGTGTTGGAGAAGAATATTAAAAGTACCATGGACTACTAGAAGAACAAGTAAATCTGTGTTGGAAAAAGTACAGCCAGAATACTCCTTAGAAGTTACGATGGCAAGACTTTAGCTTTCATATTTTGGACATGTTATTAGTAGGGACCAGTCCCTGGAGAAGGACAGCATGTTTGGTAAAGTGGAGGGTCAATGAAAAAGAGGAATACCTCCAATGAAATGGATTGGCACAGTAGCAGTAGTAATGGACTCAAGCATTATAACTTTTGTGAGGATGGCGCAGTATTTTGTTCTGTTGTACACAGGGTCACTTTGAGTCAGAGCTGACTCAATGGCACCTAACAACAATAACATCAGCAACAATAACAATAGCAGTTATTTTGTTTTGCATGCTGTTTGTATTTGCATCTTGCCTTTAAACATTTCTGTTTATATATAAGGTAGAAAAAAATAGATCCACTCAAACCCAAGATTCAGGGCTTCAGATACACAAGAGAATTTAAGTACTATTTGTACTCTGTTGTTGTTGAGTGCTGTCAAGTCAGTGCCAACTGATGGCAACCCTATATAGGGTTTCCGAGAAATGGCTGGTGAATTTTCACTGCCAACCATTGCAGTTCAAATGGACCTTGTGGTCCAGTGCTTACTCTACAGCACCACACTAGGACTCCAATTTGTACCCTAGAACATTTCAAATATTTTAGGCAATACATTTGGGGAAGTTCTGATTGTCTCTCCCTAATAAACTGGGGAAAGACAGGGAGTTTTGACAAGAGTCTTCAAAACAAATATTACACGGTATAAAGTAAAAATTGTCTCTTGAAAAATAATACCATTGTTGTCTTTATTTCTCTCAAGTCAATGATCATACTAGCAGATTTAGAACATTTATTTACTTACTTATCTTACCATGGGGGCAAACAAATCACAGCCTATATTTTCAGTTTCCTTATCTTAAAAATATTATAAGATGATCACTATTTTTATTAAATCCCTCTGAAGTATCTTTGTAAAAGGCACTGTAAATACCTGAAACTATAAATCAGTTACAGATTACTGTGCTATACAGCCATGTTATTCTGTTTATTGTACTATACTGTTTCATTGAATTTACAGCCATTATAATCTCCTCATTACTTTTACTAGAACTTAGAAACACCTGGAAAACATAAATTGATTATATATGTGGATTCTAGTGGAAAATGTTACACTGAATTAAAATTTTTTTTTTTTAAAAATTAAAAGTTCATGGAAATCCCCAAATGTGACTAACATTTATATGGATAAGCCTACTGTTATTGTTGTTGTTAAGTGCCTTCAAGTTGGCTCGGACTCACTGCAACCCTGTATAGGGTTTCCTAGAAGCATCTGGTGAGCTTGAAGCACCAACCTTGTGGTTCAAACCGACTTTGCAGTCCAGTGCATTAGCCCACAGCACCCACAGCACCGTACCGGTACTCTGTTAAGGAGCCTACTGACAACCACAACAGAAAGCCCTGGTGGTGTTGTGGGTTATGTTATTGGCTACTAACCCCAAGGTCGTTCTTCTCTGAGGGAGACATATGTCTGCTTCTGTAAAAATTTAAGACTCAGAAACCCTAAGGAGCACTTCTATGCTATAGGGTACTATGAGTCAGAATCAACTCTACAACAATGGATTTGGTTTGGAGTTTTTTACTCACAAAGAATTCAGACAAGATTTTTTAGTAACTATAGATAAAATTGAATCAACTTGATGGAACTTAACAACAGTGGCAGATAAATTATTGGTACTCCCCGTAATGATGCATAATGACTAAAGCAGAAGATAGGGAAAGCTGATCAATGCTGCAGTTATCATAAATCACTCTATTATGGTTTAAAATTCTCGCTGACATCATGAGACTTACTAGTTAAAAGAGGAATGATTTTATGTCGCTTCACAAATACAAGTAATTCCCTCTAAAAGACTGTTCATAATGAAATTATACTAAGCAGATGGTTATTGTTGTTGTTAAGTGCCTGTATAGGGTTTCTGAGGAACGAATGGTGGGTTTAAACCACCAAACTCGCAATTCAAACCAACTTCATGCTCGAGTGCTTGTCCTACGCAACAAATGTGTCTAGTGTTCATCTCAGCATGCTCTACTCACAAAGTTCTCCAAAGCAGGATTTGTTTGTTTTCCCCTTAACTGCCAATTGAAGCATGCCTTGACTATGGAACTGGATGCCACTATAAAGCCACAAATGCTTTCTACAGTGCTATTTAGAATTCTTTTAAATCTTAGGGACTTACCAGATAAAAGTTGGTATATATTTGGGCACTACCAATTGTGTAAACACCATTTTCAGGCACAAGTTTTAGAGGTGGCAGTTATTATAAAGAACTCATTATGACTCAAGGAAGTTTGTTAGCAATCACATCTCTAAAATTAAAAAAAAAATTTTTTTTTTTCCATATCGTATATGAGCTTAGAGAAACCATCATTTTGTTTCATAACAAAGTGAAAAAGGTTTGCGGTAATATACATGGGATTGGATTGGATTGAAAAAATGCTAGTCTTTTCCAAAGTTTTTACATTTTATTTTATACCTTCTATTTAAAAGGAGCTCTGGTAGCGTAGTGGTTATGAATCGGGCTGCGAACCTTAAGGTCAGCGGTTCGAAACTACCAGCTGCTCCACAGGAGAAAGATGAGGCTTTCTACTCCCGTAAAGATTTACACCCTCGGAAACCCTATACAGGGTCGCTATGGGTCGGAACCGACTTGATGGCACATAACAACAACAACAATTTAAAAGAAGTTTTTATAAATATAGCACATACGATATAAAATCTAAAAGAAGAATCTGAAGAACATAAATTGAAAACAAAACTTCTTAATTACTTTTTTTATCTTATTTCATATTAATCTGTCTGAAATGAATACTATATAGACTTACAGAGATAAGAGGATAAAGTCAAATTTTGATTTAAGAAATTTTAAAAAATGCCTCTATAGATCCTATAAAACTGATAAGTCATCTGTTCTAAAAATGCGTAGGTAGAGTTAAAGCCCAATTTCCAGGGTCACTCAAATGTAGATTAACTATTTCACTTGCTAGAAAAGAAATGTTATAATGATCTAACAGAAATCCCTAATTTCATTTGATCATGAATCTCAAACTACAAGTATCCATTAAAAACTATGAGTTAAGTTTGACTATGTCTGAGGGAAAGGAATCAGGGTGGGGGGGGTTAGAATCCTACAGAAATATGAAGTAAATACTCTACTGAGAGACAAGAAAAGCCAAAGTTTTACTCAACACTCTAGATACCAAATAGTTGCAAATGATCTTTAAATCTGTACATGACATGTGCTGCCACAGTATACTAGGAATAATAATATATTTTTCACTCAAAGTACAACATTAAAAATCACTTTCTTTTGTACTATATCCAAGAGGAATAATTGGTAGAGTACAATGAGTACCTTAAAAAGCAGTTCCTTTTCTCGTTATTGTTTTAAAGAAACTTAAAGCACTATATAGAAATAAGAACTAGGCCTTTAAGCTTATGTTTTAAACCTGAATACTTTATTAACAATTTGATATTTTCAAATCTCATTTTTTCATTCTACATATTATGTTCCTACTGGTGTTTTGCTGTAGCATAAGCACTTTACTGCTAACCACAAGGCCAACAGTGCAAACCCACCAGCCACTCCTCAGAAACCCTATGCAGGATTGCTGTGAGACAAAACTGGCTCGATAGCACTTAACAACAACAACATACTAAACACAAGTTTTTCTATGAAGCATCTAGATATTTCTACACACTTTCTGCTATTGACACTATGATTTTTATAGGCAGACATAATGAGTCACTTATAATGCTTACTTTTTTTTTTTTAGTAGTAATTTTTCTTGTTTCACTATTTGGGTTAATGTCATCTTGTCCTCACTAAATTGTTGTGTTGGAATGTGGGCAGTGGATGAAGCAACTTGAAATGACTCAGTACTAGCAAGTATGAATTAAAGTAAAGGCTCCTAGCCAGTGAAAAAATACCCTTTAACCCAATTATCATAGTGCCAGAAAAGGAGGAAGGGGAAAGATTTCAAAATCATAATATTTCAAAAGAAAAAACAAAGTTGACATCATAAGTCCAAGACTTTAATGAATAAATACATTAGAAATTATTAAAATTCTGCCTACATGAATTCAGAAGAAATGTTCAACTTGCCCAACTCAGGATTATCCAAACATTTAGAAATAAGTGTTATACAAATAATACAGGAAAAAGAGCAACGTCAAAAGCCATATTCACATTACTGATGCTACTAAAGGTAAAAACTATGTTCATCAAAATCCCATCTTAACTGTTCTGTCATAAAATAACACATCTTAACATTTGTGTCATGAAAGAATACATATAAATGGCTAAACATAAAGATTAAGACTTCTTACCCCATATTTACATTGGCGGGATGTTGCTCCGTACTGGAAACGACATTGTTCATCAGCATCGTACACCTGACCTGGGGCCACAGCTGGATAAAGAAAGTCACGCTTGGGAGGCTCATTATCAAGGCAAGTACCACGGCCTGAACTGTTCAACATAAAGGATCAAAGGAAATTAGGTACTCTATGGACTTTCAATCACAATTATGAAACCATGTGTTGAGTTCTTTGCTTTAATTACTTGATGCATGAAAAACAATACATTCTACCAATAATTAACTACATGGCAAAATAGAATGGTTTTGCTGAAGCCTGAATAGGAGCTCCAAGTAGTTTTTTTTTCCAGCACCAAGACACAATAAAAACAACTTAGACAACAATCTGAAAATGTCATGTTGGCCTTTCAAGTGTTGACTTAAACTAATTTCTAAAGTAATCAAAACAGAATTTTCTATTCTCCAGGCTTCTTGTTTGTTTTCACTGAAAATGTAACCACATCTGGAAGTAGAATTAAAAACATGAATGTGGAAAATTATTTTTTTTTAATTGTGGTTGCAATCCTTAAAAATCTAATCTATATACTTCCACCTTGGGCAAAGAAATAGGTGCTGTGGTAAGACATGCCCATACATTCTTGAAATAAATCAATAATAAATGGGCTGAATGACAGATGATGCTAAGATCCAAAGTTCTCCTCTCAAGTATATTAGAAGTGTTTAGTCTCTCAAACATTTCATATTTCATCCATGGTCATCAGAGTTGGAAAGAGAATGCTCTCCCTATAATTTCTGCTTTACAAAGTATGCCGGTACTCAAACATAATATTTTAATTCAATGGAACAAATAACATAAAGATCGCCAAGATCTGGACAGAGTACCTTATTTAAAGAGCTTTATACTTTGCTAAATATAATTGTTCAATTTTATTTAGTCAGTGTGCATAAAATAGGACAGATGCTTTTTTACTTTCATTTCACATGTGAGTAAGTTAGAGTTTTTAAAGAATTCCTATGCCAACATTTAAAAATTTTTTCCAACATTCCTGTCAATTGTGCCAGCACTTGCATTTTTTTTCCCAAATCTTTTCCATCCACATTGCCAAAGGAAAATAATTTCACAAGTAGAAGTTCCTCAACTATTATTTAGAACAGTATAAATTTTCATTTATAGATAATAAGAAAGACCAAAATTCAAAGTACAACACTGACTTTCAAATTCATTTAAAATTTTATATTCTTACAATGTAAAGGTTAATTTTCTACATAAAAATCTAAAGCATAGCAACAAATTAATGTCTTTTAAAAATTGAACCAGACTATTTCTAGGCGATAGATTCAAAGACCCAAGTGTTAGAATACTGGCTTCTTTATACCTCTTTCTTTTCACTTATATACCTCTTAATTAATTGTCTAATTAGCAAAAAAATTTGGATGGAATATTAAATATAATATTACTATAGATTTAGTTTACTATTGGCTATTACAATCATATTATTTGTTGCTGATAAAGGATTCTAACTAACAGAGGAAAAAAATACTTTTTTTCCCAGCTTTTTAGTCTTCATGATAAAACATTTTATTAACTGCTTATTGTACTTAATTGATATTTTAATTCACCAATTTCCTTCTAAAATATTAGTTTCATAGTCTATTTAAAATGAACATCAATGTCTTTATCAAAAAATTTAAGTATGCAATAAAATAAAATAACATGCCAAGTATGACTATAAATTAATTTTAAAAAGTTAAAAATGATGTACTGAGGAAGTCTAAGTTAAAGGTCCTCTAGATGAAAATATTTACCAGTACTATGACAGAATAAGCTCATCTAAATCGCATCAGCTCAGAATCTACTAAAAAATCATTTCATTTAATTATGTTTAGGATTATGTAAAATTAACCTAGAAAATTGGAGGGAGTACTACTTGGTCTCTAAAGAAGAGTAGATAATCTAAGTAATAAATTCTTTCCAAACTGAAAATCGGCTTAACTTATGAGGAAGCAAGAACAATGACATCATCCAAAGTTACTGTTTCAAAATATTAATGGTCCATAGTCTTTTAAAATACCAAATCAGATGACAATTTGCAAGGGTCTTCAAATAACCTAGAACACCATGCAATGAATTGTGGATACCCATGACCAAAATGCTTCTCAGTGAGCTTATCCCCAAAGCATGTTTTCTACCCACGTCTGCAAAAGTACCTATCACTTTGATTAATGTGGTCTAATTAAGCATTTACAGCACTTAATAACAACAACAACAACAATTAAGTATCTAAACATTTGTTTCCTCTTTTTCCAGTGTAATTTTATGATGGAATAAAACACCATATGAAATAAAATAAAATAAAATAAAATAAAGCAACTAACAGCTCTTTAAGAAATGAACATGTATTTAGGACCATCACATTAAAGAGAGCCTTTTAAAATGGATTTGGATATATATAAGGGTAAATCCAGAAATATTGCTACTAGGGTTCCAGTTCATACATGTACTGGTTTATGGTTTATTCTAAACAGAACATGTTAGAGCATGGCTCTGTGATCAGTGAATGACAGCACTGCTGAGAAAAAACCCAGGAAAGCTGCACCAAGGATTTTTTTTTCCCCCATCACTACAATGCACCTGTCCACTCTTCAAGGGTAGCAAGGACTGAGAATTCCTTGGGAAACCTTACCCCATCCCCCTTCCACCTAGATCTTTCAACTTCAATCTTTTTGTTCTCAAAACTCAATGAACATTTAAAAGTAACACAATTCAACTCCCTCAAGGATGGCAAACTGCCATTTTGATGTAGTGTTAAGCAAAGAGCTCAGAATTCTTCAGGAAATAGTTCCAAAACAAAACCAAACCCACTGACACTAAGTCAATTCTGACTCATAATGACTCTATATAGGTTTTCGGAGACTTTAAAGCTTCACAGGAGCAGACAGTCCCATTTTTTCATGCAGAGATGGGCTGTGGTTAGCAGCCAAACGTCTAAACCAAACCCACAGTCATCAAGTTGATTCCTATTCATAGCAACTCGTAGGACAGAGTATAACTCCTCCTTAGTGTTTCCGAGACTATCTATCCTCATGGGAGCAGAGAGCCTCATTTTCCTCCCATAGAGTGGCTGGTCTGTTTGAACTGTAAACCTTTCGATTTTTCATACCTCTGAGACATCAATGGATATCATAAAACATTATAGATACAGGTACAGGAGGTATATTGTTATTGCTGTTAAGTGCCGTCAAGTCAGTTCCAAATCACAGCAACACTGTATAAGGTTTCCAAGGAGTGGTTAGTGAGTTTGAACTACCAACCTTATTGTAAAAAGTCCAATGCTTATCCTACAGTGCCACACCAGGAGTCCACAGGAGGTATGGTGGTGATTATGCACCATGGAGTGGTTCTGACTCATAGCAATAGTGCATAGGGTTTCCCAGGCTGTAAATCTTTATGGGAGCAGAAAACCTCATCTTTTTCCCATGGAACAGCTGGTAGTTTCAAACTGCTGACCTTGAGGTTAGCAGTCTGACCCGTAACCACTACACTACCAGAGTTCCTTATATATACCTCCTGGTATAGAACATGGCTATATATTTAATCCTGAAGTGATTTTTCTTTTATTTTTTTTTTTTAAAGAAAATTCCAAAGTGCCCAACCCCAATCACAGCCCTTATCTCCTCCCCAGATTTAACTATAATGATAATAATAAAGTCTTTGCTTTTCTTAACAAATTTACCTACCTTCTATTTCTCTGCCTGTTTGAGACTCTATCTAAAAAGAGCCATACTGTAGATTTTCTTTTGTGATTTTATTCTTTCATTCAATATTATGTATGTGAGATTCACCCATGTTGATATGTGTAGCTGTAGCCTGTTCAATTTTACTGTTCTTTAATATTCTATGCCACATGGTTACTCAAAAAAATAACTAAGCTAAAAACAGAATTATCATATGGTACAATAAGCCATCAAAACTTAAGGCAAAGACTCAAACAGAGACTTGTACAACAATGTTTAATGCAGGATTATTCAAATAGCCAAAGGAGCTCTGGTAGTGTAGTGGTTACGAGTTGAGCTGCTAACCTCAAGGTCAGCGGTTCGAAATTATCAGTGGTTCCAAGGGAGAATGATGAGGCTTTCTGCTCCTGTAAAGATTTACAGCCTCGAAAACCCTATACAGGGTTGCTATGGGTCGGAACCGACTCACGGTACTTAACAACAACAGCATTCAAATCGCCAAAAAGTGGAAACAACCTAAATGCCCATCAACAGATCAATGGATAAACAAAATGTGGTACATGCATGCAAATGACTACTAGACACGCCATAAGAGAAATGAAGTCATGTTACATGCTACGATATTGATGAAGCTTAAAAACATTATGCTGAGTGAAATATGTCCATCACAAAAGGATAAAAGTTCCTGGTGTGGCACTGTGGGTTAATGCGCTGGACTGAAGTTGGTTTGAACTGAAAGGTCGGTGGTTCAAGCTTATCAGCTGCTCCTAGGAAACCCTATACAATGGTCGCTATGGGTTGGAACCAACTCAATGGCACTTAACAATAACAATATAAAAAGATAAGATAAAGCAAATGTATAGAGATCAAAGTTAATCAGTGGTTACCATGGATGGTAGGGAATGGAGGTTAATGTTGCTGGAAATACCGCATTGATTAAGGGTAGGTTTTCACAGTCAATTATTAAAATTGCTGCCAATAAATATATACCTATAAAAAGTTGAATCAGCAAACGTTGTGTGATAGATATATTTACCACCATTACACACAGCAAAAGAATAACTGCTGAAGCTGCTTATATACAAACAAAAACTTCACAGGATTTAGTTCTTTGGTTTGGAAAATTGAGATCATATTTTCATTGGACATCTCCGTTAACTGGCCTAATAGCATATTTAGTGCTTCTGGTCTACCTCCAATCTATGGTATAGTGCCTAGGGCTTAAAAACTTGCAACCAATCATTCAAAGCAGGTCAACTCATGTCTTTACTGAAGCAACAGAGGTTAAAGGAGAGCCAGTAACAGAAGGAAGATAAGGAATGTATCACTAGTTGTCTTCATAAATAATTGCCCTGAGACCTGCTACTATCACTGAACATTTTAATCAAAGATTGTGTAGAAGAATTCAGATCAAAAA